AAGCAGTGCTGGGTTACAGGATCTTCTTAATGTCTGTACTGAATATGGTGTGCAATATGACATTGAGTACAATGCTGCTAAAAGTGCTGTTTTGATATGTAGAACCAAGCCGGATAAACAGCTAAATTTCCCTTTGTTTAAACTGGCACAAAAAACTCTTGAAGTTCATAAAAAGGTGAAATACCTGCCAGCCAGATGTTAGTAGCTGTGGGTGTTTGGACTTTTAAAGCACTTTTAAGAAAGCTAATGTTCAATTTTAGAGAACTACTGGATTGTTCGAGTAACAGTATAATTTTAGCACTTACAGATCCAACAGTGAGTGGTTCCTGTTACTCATCCAGTCTGAGAAAGCACTGGTTAAAGTGTTTGTGTATTTATTGATTTATTTTAAGTAATTGTGTTTTATGTATATTATGGTTTTGTATTTTTACATTAAATGGTTTATACCTTGTGTTGGGGGGGTGTTTTGTCTTGTTTTTATGGACATGACGTCTGCCAATAAAGATTGAATTGAATTGGATGACCTCTTGTAACTGAATGCTTATTTCTCCTGCTAAATTCCTGTTGATATCAGACTGCTGGATATAGATGCGTGGCAGGAGACAGGCTTTAAGTATGACGTGATCAGCTGTTTGAACCTTCTCGACCGCTGCGACGATCCCCTGCATCTCCTGAAGGACATCCGACAATCACTGGTTCCAGGGACGGGAAGACTCATCGTGGCTGCTGTGATTCCTTTCCAACCTTGGCTAGAAATCGGTCAGTTGAAAATAAATGCTGCTTGTATCTTATGCTCTGTAACCATTTTCTGTCCAGATAAAGCAGCCTCTTTTTGTCTCTCTTCCCCAGGAGGGAGATGGGAGCGTCCCAGGGAATACATAAAAATTCAAGGCAAGACTTGGGAGGAGCAAGTAAACAGTCTTACAAATGAGGTTTTCCGAAAGGTGGGGTTTGAGGTGGAGTCCTTCACCCGATTGCCATACCTCTGCGAAGGGGACATAGCAAGAGATTACTACCTTCTTGATGATGCAGTTTTTGTTCTAAAGTCCTCAGATGATCAAGTGGCTGCTCCATGAGTACTACAAGCACAGAGTATGTAGTTATATTTTCATGAGCATTCTTGAATCGCAGTGTTTGACTTTTTTAGAAGTGGCGAGTCGGGTGTGAAGCTCAGGTAACATAGTTTCAATGTTCACCAGCCATCTTGTTTAGTGAGACCTCTACCCAAAATCCTGGAAGGCATTTGGCCTATAAGAAAATGCCACTAATGGACTCTGATGTCATAACTCTTACACAACCAAGAAAACATGAGATTTTTTTTTTTTTGTCGTTACCTGTGCTCACTGGCAGTATCATTCTGTATTGATGCAGAGGACCCTCTTGAGATGGTGTTTAACTGGACCCTTATTTTTCCCAACAAATTTTCTACCCAATATCAGACAGTGAAGATGGCGCAAGTGAAAGAAAGGCATTTAAACACCCATTTTGTAGCCAGTTCATTAGAATTTTACAATAACTTGAAGCAGAACTTTTAAAGTGAGCCCATGGAATTCCAGCTTCAATGACCACAA